TCAAGTACAAAAACTGAACCCGCTCGAGCGCAAAAAATTCCGCTCGAGCACCAAGACACAATTCAAAAACACACAACCCTCGAGCGCCGAAAAGGAAAACCGCTCGAGCGTAGTTGAACCCGCGTGTCTAGTATTTTCACAGACCTTGAACACCCGCCTCGAGCGCCAATAGGCCGCTCGAGCGAGACGCTCGATCGTAAGGAAAAATCCGCCCTTCAAGCGTTAAAAAACCACCTGCAGAAGTTTTGCCAGAGCACCCAAAATGCTGAAAGGTGTAACTCCGCTTCGACGCAATGGACCCCGCTCGAGTGACTACCAAAAATCTGGCAACAATCAATGGGACTAAAGCTCAATCAACCTGTTCGACACACACCAATACATCCTAAAAACTCAAATATATGGAATGAAAGGATGACAACAAACAATACAAAACAATTCAACTCCCACGAACCTAAGTCCGCGATACAATAATCAATGGAGAAGAACCCAGTATCGCTAATATCTCACTAATTTCCTTTTATTATTGTATGGAAATTATAGGTAAATTTAGTTTTATTTTAATTCTATCGAATAAAATATTTTGAAAGGGGCATTTGTATTTTTAAATACAAAACAATCTAATTATTTAAGCAAATCGTAAGGATTATTAATTTACATTATGGGAATGACCAATAGTCTTCCACTGAATTTTTTCTATTTTTTTTTAATTAAAATATGGAAAAAATTCAAAAAAATGTTTAACCATTCTATAAATAAATTATGAGTTAATTGTGTCAATTTAAACTATATATTTTTTTAATTAAATTATTTGTCGTTTAGTCAAATTAAAATTGAGAAGGATTAACATTAACATTATATCAATATATTTCAAACTATTCCAAATTATCTCTATTTCCAAAACTATTTCAAATCAACTTTAAGCTCTATACCAAACTTGCATTAACTAACCAATAATCTAAGTGAAGTGTAGTACATATATTTTTCAAATAACATTGTTTTAAATTTTTTTATAAACTTTTTAAAGAAGTTATTTTTACTAATTATAAAAATTAAATACAATGAATTTGTATATCACATTAATAAAAAATTTTATGAAGCTTTGTGAAAAAAAATGTGTTAAATTTAAATTTTGATTCAAGTGAATGATAACAATTTAAAATTTTGGTTGCTTAAAATTATTCAAAAATAATTTTAAATTTTAATTCATATATTTTTATATTTATAATGAAATTTCATATGCCATTGTTTTTTTCAGCATACATAACTTAAAAATGTTAAAAAAAAACGGACTGGAGAAATCTTTAAAAAATTTAAATAAATACAAAAAATATTATAATTTTTTTTGTATATTTGTTAATATTTAGCGATTTTTTTTTGTATATATAAAAAAAGATCATAATTTATACTTTTAAGTGTATTTAAATTGGGAGTTGAATCAAAAAGAGCTCTACACGTAGCTCAAATTTAGCTTCCTCAGAATGGCTTGAATTTCATCTCTATCGTCTCCGTGTCATGTAACCCCTGTATTTTATTAGTTCGGATAACATTACCAATATTCATAATTTTAGTCTATTACAAATGACAATTCATCTTTGATGTAATAAAAAATTACATTTCCCTCTCGCTATACAAACAATGGTCATTATATACAAATAAAAGAAATGCCCTGAGGCTTACATCCAATTACCATACAATGAAAAAAATACTTATCTCTACACCACGAGTCTTATATCTTACAACCTCAAAAAAAATCATAAATTGTACCATTCCTAATAGTTGAAATCTTCAATTACCTGTGAAGTTCATTAAGTGGGTGAGCACTAATGCCTGGTAGAATTCGAAGTCTAAAACAATAACTAACACATATATAAATGATCATCATGCAGGTGCATACTATCAGGTAACGTGACTTTTGTATGCCCAAAATATCAATAAGTCTAGACGTATCATTTCTCTCAAAATCATTTGAACATCAAGAGAACTTTATAACATTTACATTTATCACCGAACATTCAAAGACAATCGTCGTACACTCTATTCTCACTTATCTATCCGTTACATCATATCAACATTTATCATCACTAGTAATTCAACTTGAATCAGGAATATAAACCCCTTTCAATTCAATTTCTCAAATATTTACAATTGATTTCAAATCCCTCTTTCAAACAAACATTTGTTTTCAATCTATTAAATAAATCCTCAACCTAATTAAAAACCCACTTAGACCAAAATTTCGAATCTAGGATTTTTAAGAAGACTATCATTTATAAGATTAGAGGATTCACCACTCATAAGATCATTTTTCACAAATTCACACAAGATTCTTCATTTTTACTTAAACTTCCAACCCAATTATACCACAATTACCATAAATCCATAGTCCTTAACTCAAATTGATATTACTATTACTCACAAAATAAAACTCATAATCTTCAGGTCACAAAACAACCCGGTGAGTTCATCATCATCAACCCCTTACCCAATTACCATTTCTTTCAAGTAATTTTTATATGCATTTCTCCTCTGTACAAAATCACACAACACATTGAAATTTCATAAGTTCATTACGAGTCATACACATTATCTCCGACTCAACACATTCCATCTTTTGCTAGCTTGATATGGCGAAATAGCGGGCACCCAACTCATAACACCTTCCATGTTTTGCCGACCTGATACGGTGGGATAGTGGGCACCCGAAAATATTTTATACAATCCCCACTTTACTGACTATTACACGACAAGATGCGGGCACCCAAAAACATTTAATACAATCCCTACATTTACCGACTATTATACGGCAGGACGTTGGCACCTAAAAAGCATTTAATACAATCCCTACATTTACCGACTATTATACGACAGGATGTGGGCACCCAGAAATATTTAATACAATCCGCACATTTACCGACTATTATAAGGCAGAACGTGGGTACCAAAATCATCTAGTTGCCAAAATATACTGATATAAATAAGACATTTCCGTTGCTAAGAGAGAACAGTGTAATTTCATTTTAGAAACCACAGGGAAGTCCGTGTAATTAGCCCATAAATAAAACAAAACAACCAGATTCAAAATGACAGAAGACACACAAAAAAGCATTGGAAGGGTAACGGTATAATGTGTATACTTAATTCACAAAAAGGCAAATTACACAAAATAATAGGTATAATAGACTATTAGCACAACTGTAACAACCAAAATATAGCTCTATTTGATGCAATTAAAGGTCACTCTCACAAACAACATCACTAGTCTAAGCGTATAAAGGTAAAAAGGTTGTTACAAGGAATAACGAGTTGCGAAAGAAATTCTCATGTCCTCAAACTCAACTATTTCAACAGTCTTCCCGGTCATAAATTTTAAGGAATGGGATGGGATCCCTAATTTAGTTCTAGCTTACTTTTAGTTTTCTTCATTTTCGCTTTAAATCGAGATTTTGCCACTAGCGTCTGCATTGCGTTTGCAAAATTCCCAACTGCCCTAACAATCAGTAGCACCCCACAGGTAACAACCTGACCAAAAGTAAATTCGATAATCCATTAAGTTTTATCCCAGTATGAGAATGGTTATTAAAATCGCGATCCGGATCACACTACAAGAATTAACACTTTTGGCAACAAAAAAATTGGTCGCTAAAAGTCAATTTTTGGTCGGCAAAAGTTATCCGCGACCAATTTTTTTGGTCGCTACTTTGGTCGCCAATTGAGGGTCGACAAAAGTAATTCACGACCAAAATTGTGGTTGGTCGGCAAAAGTTGGATTTCGCGACTAAATTTTTAGTCGCTAAATATTTAATTACCGCGACTAATTTATTTTGTCGCCAAAACACTTTGGTCGCGAAAAGTGATATTTTCCCGACCAAAAAGTTTGGTGGCCAATTATCACATTCAACAACCAAAAAATTTGGTCGCCAATTGTGACATTCCGCGACAAAACAATTTTGATCGCCAATCGTGACATTCCGCGACCAAAAAATTTGGTCGTCAATTGTGACATTCCACGACCAAAAAAAGTTTTGGTCGCCATTTGTTACTTTTCGTGACCAAAACTTTTGGTCGGCAAAAGTGAGTTTCCACGACCAAGAACTATTTTGGTCGGCAATAGATGTATTTTTTGCGACCAAAACTCTTGGTCGGCAATTGTCATTTTTTGCGAAAAAAAAATAATTTATTTGTCGTGACTAATAAATTGGTCGCCAAAGCAGGAAAACAATACACCTGTAATTCCTAATAATTCATTCAATCCTACGTGAGAGAACTTCAATAGCAAACTAGTAACCTTTAAAGGCATATCAAATTCAGGACCAACAGCAAAATCTCCAAAATTTCAGTTCAGCACAAGTGTCGTCTAATTGTTTGCTATCGACTTTAACTACTTCAAGGACAATACATAAGCTACTTGAGGTATTGTTGAATCTGTAATTGGAGCTTTCTTGACCTTGAAAGAAAGAAAAACCTGTGCGGATACTTTATAGACGCAAGTGCCACGACACTTACACCAAGAAAGGAGCAACCATATAGAGCTTGAGGCCAGTGGTCCCACGAGATATCACATCCTCATTTGCAGGTTGAATCTCATCATGCCGCTGCCACGCAATTTCCTGCAAACAGCATACAAGAAGGCACATTTCCAACATCACAAAGACATTGTTATAAAGTTTCTCTATTTAAACCTGATTCATCATCTTTTGACTGGACAAAACATTCAACCAACCATTCAGCTATTACAGTCAGCTTATTCTTCTCCTTCATTGTCATCCATTAAGGAGAAAGAAACCCAAACTGTTAGTTACACATATCAAATGTTTATGTGTATATATTTAGATCTCTCGTGAAGTGGATGCATATTTGTGCACCAAAGGCTGAAGAGGGCTTGGGATTCAGAAATTTGAGAGAGTGGAATAAGGCCACTATGCTAAGACAACCTTTGTGGGCTTTAAGTAAGAAAGCTGATTCTTTGTGGGTTAAGTGGGTCCATACTTGTGTAATTAAGGGTAAGTGTCTTCCTACTGAGGCATCTTGGACTGTCAGGAAGTTTTTTGAACTAAGAGCTGTGGGGCAGCCTTTGATCAATATATCATTGGTGATGGGACTGTTACATTTCCGCGATTTGATAATTGGCATCCCTTGGGTCCTTTGAATAAGAAATATGGGGAAAGGGTTGCTTTTCATATGGGCATGGCTGTGAATAGCAGAGTTTCCTCTTATCATTAATTTTGGGAATTGGAAGTGGCCTAGAGGTAGAAGAGTGGTTATTACTGAGATTAAAGCTAATACCCCTGCTAGCTTCGTATCGAATCCTAATAGGCCTGACTCAGTGTTTTGGCTACCCTCTAGTAATGGTGAATATAATGTGGCTTCAGCTTGGCAAGCAATTCAAATGGTATTCCCTATCGTCCCTTGACATAAATTGGCATGGTTTCCTCAAAATGTTGCTAAGTGGAGCTTTGTGCAATTGGTTGCTGTTCTGAGATTGAAGCTAATACCCTGCTAGCTTTGTATTGAATCCTAATAGGCCTGACTCCGTGTTTTGGCTACCCTCTAGTAATGGTGAATAGCGTGGCAAGCAATTCAAACACTATACCCTATCGTCCCTTGACATAAATTGGCATGGTTGCCTCAAAATGTTCCTAAGTGGAGCTTTGTGTAATGGGTTGCTGTTCAGTGAGGACTGGCTACAATGGATAGAATGTTTAAGTGGGGGATTGTTTCTGAAAACATGTGTGTATTGTGCAATGGGTTTGATCACGATCATTTATTTTTTTGTTAATATTTTTCAGCATATACTTGGACTGTTCTTTTGAGGAGAATTCTTCCTGGTAGAAGAATGCCTGACTTTTGCTGAAGAGTGTGGAGGTAAGGCTATTACAGATTATGTTTACAGGTTGACCCTTGCTGGTACTATGTATCATGTTTGGAAGGGAAAGGAGTCAAGAAGATAGAAATGGGTGATATTAGAGCTAATCTTAGCTCATTAAGGAATGTAAAATTTTGTCCTAGTGCTAGAAACAGGAGTTGTGTCATGTGAAGTTTGTTTTATTTCAAACCATCCCCAGCCCTTCCCATCAATGTTACAGGAAGGACTTGAGAAAGCTCCTCTTGGAGATTTAACTTCTCTCTAGTGCAAGCAGTTAACTTCTTTTTCAAGCTCTCAATCTCCTGCTCCAAGCCAGCTGTCCTAATGGGGGGGATAAATTCACAATGCATTCTTATTTCCAATTTGAAAAGATAATGCCAACGCATACCTACCAAAAAAAATATTAATGACAACAACTTCATCTGATGGACTTGAGATAAATAATATACCTCTGAAAATGCATTCGAGTAGCCACAGCAAGGTAACCAGGACCAGCTTGCTGCATACACAGCTGTTCAATGTCTTTACGTAACTCATCACGCCAACCGGAGAGTGCTTTTTCAAGAAAAGAAGAGAATAAGGATCTGTATAATACTCCCAGGGGAGGAATTTTGAAAACACATTAAAGAGGAAAATCTCTTCAGAGAAATTTTCTTTTAGCAAAAAGCTAAGACTAGCTCTCTGACTCAAAGTTTAATGGAATCTAATTTTTGAGATGGGCCACCAAGTAAGGAGAGTAAGTAAACCCCAGAACTTCTCAGATGGGCCACCAACATCTTTGTTTAACACATTTCAATCATGCTGGAAGGTCAGTCACTACTACAACATATGACCACTCAAATTCGGAAAAATTCAAATCAAATTCTAACCAGCACTATAAATATAAACAATAATAATGAACATTCTCATCAATGTCCCCTCACAGAATGTTCCATGACCAAAATTCTATATAGGACATGTCCCATTACCAAGTATTAACCAGTCTTCATGTTTCCTCATAGAATTTTGTTTATGAAAAGGCAACTACATATTATTTCCAAAGTATTTGTTGGTAACAATTCAAAAAATCTCACTCCTACGTAACGATTTATTTTCTTATTCACTATTTAAACATTGTCATTACAATCTAAGGAAAGGAATTTTGGCTTACACAGAAGTAGTATAATCAGAAATGGAACTGTATACATAGCAAATAGGTATTTCATAAAATAAACATTAGAATATTTCCCTGGCCTAAAATATGAGGAATAAAAAAAGAATAAACAACTAAAGCTTAGATGCTTTTCATGAATGAAAAAAAATAAATAAATAACCCAAAAATAAAAATTCTATTACAATAAAATGAAAAACAAAAAAACATATCATTTAAACATTTACCTTTCATGCCTTTCTTTTGCAGGCATCAACGCCCTGAGTGACCTGAGTGATTTCACGGCTGACTCAATCATATCCATCTCATACTCTACTTTCTCATTTGTCCAGCACTGCAAACCGTAGAACAAAGGTTGAGGAGCAGCATTAATTGATGTTACTTTCCAGTATTAAGATAGCTTATTACCATTATAAATGATAAACAACCAAAACAAACAGCAATAGAACCCATCATCCAATTAGTTATTCCAGACACACCGACAAGGTGTCTTGTGCATAACTCCTTTCAAAAGCAAATGCTTGAGCATCACTGGCAAAGTAGGGCTTGGCGGCTTCAATAAACACATCACACAACTGGAACTGCCACCATGAATATACTACAGTAGCAGCATCAGAAAATTCATACGAGTCCAGTGATGTCACAGTTTTTGATATGGCCTTGTTCAACACGGAGAGAATCCACTGGCAGTTAAATGGCATGATATCTGGAACCACATTTGTTGGAGGGGTGTAATTATCTCCAAGTTTGCTCATGGCAAATCGCACAGCATTCCAAAGTTTATTACACCATTGGCGATACCCAACAACCCTTTGGATGTCCAGATTTATTTTATCAGACTACAAAGAAAGAGGAAAGAAGTCATTAAATTAACCAAAGAAAGAGGAAATAAGTCACTAAATTAACCAAAGAAAGAGGAAATAAAATCTGAGAAAAATAAGCATTAAAAAAGGTATGCACCTGTTCTGTGTAAGAGATAACAATATATGCAACTGACCTAACTTTTTTATCTAACCTCAAATTCTATTCAGTTATAAGAGAACACAATGGGTTGGCTGCACATTCAAGTCGGTAAAAAAAAAAGTCCAGACTGAAATCAATTCAACCATAGTTCATGCTCAAATTTTAATTTATTTTTATCTAGGCTAATTTTATAGCCTTCAAAGACCACTGTTATAAAGCTTAGCGTGACTCCTTCGACCATATTGCATTGAGAAATTAAAATGAAGTTAATAACCAATTTATACGTTAGTATGACTCAGGAACTTGCCATTTATTTGTGAAGAGAAAATTGCAAATTTAGTATAGTCAAAAAGGCATCCAGACTTTTGTTTAACATTTTATCTCAAGCCCAGACAAAATGCTTTATTTAATAACTTGCAATATTTTATTGAGTTGTCTAAGGCTTTGCCTAAGTTTCAGACTTTCACAACAATAGCCTAAAATAGTTAGTAAAATTTAAAATTGTGTATATCCAGTGTTGTTTTTTATGTGCTGAATTTTTAGGTCTCTTGGAAAACCAAACACGTGCATTATCCCCAGACTATTTTTTTTTTGAGGCACTTGCCAAGGAAATGAATTTTTTAGGCCATAGGGTGGGCTATTTTTTATACCATGAAAGGGAAAGTAAGCATTTTTTAGGTCACTAGATAGGGAAATACTGACATATATGCTTGCACAAAAATATATTTACCGGCATCCATGTACTTTTGACAAAGTATACTTACCGACATATAAACTCTTTGCCTCTTTTGTTCGTTCCTTTCTTTTAACTTCATTTCTTTTTATTTCTATTACCTCTCTCTATATATATATATTTTCTAAATATTCTTTTCCTATCAAAATCAATGGAGATAAAGCTTTAGTAGTAAATTTTAAATTAAGCATTAAACTAAATTAAAGATTGCTAATGCATTGTTAGTCTTTTATCATTGAATTCCAAGTTATTTTATTCAAAACTTGTAATGTATTTCATGTGTCTAAGCGATATGCACATGTTCCCCAAGTGCTTAAAGCATGTTGTCTAAAATATTTTAAAAAATAGTAGAACATGTTTGGAGGTGTTTCTGGCAAAGGTCAAGAAGTTTCCCATGAGTGTCGTGTTGTGTCAGTGTCCGACACGACATGCCACCTTATAAACTTTTAATTCAAGCACACCTCACACTTTAAAAGCTTTAGTTATTTCAAAATGATTCCATCAATAGCCCTACCATCTTTCATTCTAGCTTCAAAATTACAAGCTTATCATAACCTTAGACCACCATTAAACCACTTGCAGGTAGCATAATTCTAGTTTTTTTATTGATTCCCTACGAAGTTTGGAATCAAAGCTCATGTGAATATGCTTCACCTAGAACACAAAGGCATCAGCCAAGCTCAAGTCCAAATTATGATAACGATTTCTACCCAAACACAACTCTTCCCTCAAAAAATTAAATTCAAAATTGTCCACATGCCACGTAGCTCCTCTTGGGTATTGTTCAACTGCCAAACACAGCCTAAATTCTATCAACAAGATAAACTGAAGTAGTTGCTATAGTGAAAAATAAGAAAACAGAAAAACTACCAGTTTCTTTGCTTTCATTTTTTGTGTACTCTTATAGCATTAACTAGTAACTGAGACACCTAGAATAATTAGGAAACAAAAAGTGTCAGCATTTCCATTTAAGAGAAAAGGAAATGACAAACCTTTCTTATGTGCTAAAATCCAAGCTTTCAAAGATCTGCAAGAAGACATTGGATCTTATTTTACATCTCTAAGAATTTTTTGCCTTTGAAAGGTTTAAGTGATGTCAATATTCAATCTATATCAATTTATTTTTTTACATGGTATCAGAGCAAGGTTGAAAAGCTAGTAATTCTGTTTCACCGGCGGGCGGCAGCGTCGCCTTGGCCGCCCGCCGGACCTCTACACATACCTTGAAATTTCTTCGAGTCCACCACCTTCCATAAACCCAACTGAGACTACTCTGGCCTCAAGAGGATCTGTCACCAGATGCTCTCTCTCTCCTCTTCCGGCTATAGAAAACACAAAACACGGGAGGAAAGTAGAAGCTCTCTCCTCTTCCGGAGTGAAATGGTGTACTGTTCCGATTTTCTTCCTCTCCTATGAGGAAGAAATGGTTCCTCAAATTCATCTCTCTCTCTCATAATCCACAGTCAGTTGTGGAATCTCTCTACCACTTCTTGCCCTCTGGTGTTGAAATTGGTGGGAAGGGTTAGTTGTGGTTCGGTAGGTTGATCGGAGGTTTTGTTGAAGCTGAGATTTGAGGTTGCAAATGCCGAACGAGGACTTGGTGGAGCTTAAGTTCCGATTGTATGACGGAACAGACATCGGTCCGTTTCGGTACTCACCGGCTTCCACAGTAGCCATGCTCAAGGAGAGAATTGTCGCTGAGTGGCCTAAAGGTTAGAAGTTTTACTCTTATGGGTACACTCTCGCCCGTGAATTTAATTGTATCCATATCTATATCTATATCTATATCTAATATAAGTAAAAGAGGTTTCTAATCTACAAGTTTTGTGAGAGTTCTAATATCCTAATCCTAATTTTTTAATTTAAAAAAAAAAACCTCAACATTTATTGACTTTTCCTAACCCACAAACCTTTTTGACTTCTCTTATAATTATTGCAGCACTCTTTTCGATTTCTCCCATACATTATGGTTACACACAAAAATAAAGAAAATAAGAATTTAGCTATGGATCTGAAAAAGATATAACATCTAAATTTAAATTATGATTTACTAACATAATTATCTATTTTTTTGATAGATATCAATCAAAATTTTAAATAACTTAATGAGACAAATTAATTAATTTTCTAAAATTATTGACTTTTTAATTTATAAAATAGATTAAAAAAACTATTGACTAATTTATTTATTTAATAACAAAAATATTTCATAATCTCACCATCCTAATCTCTTTCACCGATTTAAAAAAATATATATTAAAACTTGTCTTCCTTCTTTCTTCCCAAAAAAAATAGATAATATTTTTCATGAAAGTTGCAGATATCTATCTATATCTTATATATTATATTATAACATAAAAAAAAAGAACCAAAATCAGATATACAAATAGATAAAATTAATAAATTTGTTTTTTATTTATTTAGTTAAAATCTTTCTTTTGCATCTCAAAATCCAATTTTAAATTTTAAAAATCTTTAAAGTTTATCTAAACAAATTTAATTTGAAAATATCTTCCACCATCATACTTTAAATAAAAAAAACTCACATGTCTATTAAATATCTAACTCGCATCATAACTTACCTAAATAATAAGAATTAAAAACAAATAGAAACCACAGATAAATTATATGTAAAAAAATAGAAACCTACAACCCCGTCTTAAATAAATTGGAAAAAAAAATAGAAATCACACAAAAATAAAATTATCTATTTTTCTGAAGTATATCTATCAAAAATTTAAATTACTTAATGGGACAAATTAATCAATTTTCAATTCTTATTTAAAGAATAATTTGATTAGTCATCCCAACTCCTAGATTTTGCAGACATTGGCGAATGAGCTAACGAATTGGGTTATGTGAGATCTAAGTTGTTTGAGACAACATTCTCTCATTCTATAAATTTATTTATTTTTTAATTTCTCTTTCTCTGCCGTTAATTTGGTCTTGGTTTTGATTTTAGTGAGGTTTATGTATTTGTTTATTATAAGTTTGCATAGTGGAGAAAAATTATTGGTGATTATGGATGCAATTGAAGTATCTATGTCCGTTCTGTGCCAGGATTTGGATCGGATTGAGTTTTCTTCAATGAAGACCATAAAATTGAAGTAAAAAAAGTAGGTATCAAATTTTTTATTTTTTATTGTCATTTTATTTTATAGAAAATGTGAAAATTTATTGAGAATTCAAGATTTTATTATAACATTAGATTTTTGTATATCTAGGTAAATTTAAAACTTTTACTATCACTGTGTTCTCTATTTTTATCCTCTTTCAATCCCATTATACCATTATTGCTATTTGTTAGTTTGTTAATTATACTTCAATTAATTGAAAATGAAAGCTTAAAATAACTTTTCATATATATTATAATTAATTTGTTACAGGTATAGTTGTACATAATAGCATAATATATTGGAATAATCTCTAAATATAATTTCATTTTTTTATGTGATTAAATAGTCCATCTTAAATAGTATATAAAAGAGTTAGATGGCTTCTTTTATCTCTAAAAAACCCAATCTATTTTTTTTTTACTTTTTAATTTATTAAATTGAAATATCAATTGTTTATGTCCGTAAAACAAGACTAATAAACACATATCCAAAAGCTATGTATTTTTCTTTCTTTTTCTTTTTTATTTTATTTTTTTAATATGTAGGATATTTACAAATGGACCTCAAAAATTTTTTCCATAATCTGACTTAAAATGATGTAGTCATAAGTGTCAATTTTTATACAATTATGAGAAGATAATTAATTGAATTATATATTTCAACCAACCACATACTCAAACTTTGATCATTTCAAGATGTTATTTCATCATAATTCCAATTAAGAGAATCTTCAACCCTTAATATTTTTTTTATCAAATTATAATTTGATAAAAAAAATATTAAGGGTTGAAGATTGTTTTAATTAGAATTATGGTGAAATAACAACTTGAAATAGTCAAAGTTTGAGTATGTGGTTGGTTGAAATGTATAATTTAATTAATTCTCTTATCATGTTTGTATAAAAATTGACACTTATGACTACATCATTATAAGTCAGAAT